AATAATCATTGGAAAATAATCGACTCTTGTGTGATGCGCCGTTTTCAAGTCGCTAAGACGGATCTATCCATCGATCTCGTTTACTTCGATTTCATCTACGTAATTCAATAAAGTAAAATTCAACTATGATTAATGAAATCCATATATAATATATATTTTTTTAACATTAGAGTGCTTTTAGTCTCACTGTTGAATAGGTGACGTCAACTAAATTAGATAAGTTATTTACTATTTTAGGTGACGTCACCCAAATTTGAAACTGAGTAAACAGCTACTGAGATCAGGGGGAGAAACGATAATACAGATGAATGTCTATTCACTCATTCTCTGGTAAAACAACCCCCTGGATTAGCATGACCGTTATTTGGCGCGCTTTTACTATTTTAGGTGACGTCAACTAAATAGTTATCTAAGTTAGATAAATTTATCTAACTATTCAACAGTGAGACTAAAAGCACTCTAACAGTATTTCTTTGCATAACTAATAGTAACATCTTTGCAAAGGGTGTATAGTCACTTTTTTATTTTCAATTATTAAATTTTAAACTATATCCTTATCATTTATGAATATCAGTAGGATATCATATATTGCCTTTTTTAAACTTAGGGAAATATGGATATAGAATTGTACCCCCAAACTATTTTGCCAAAAATTAAAAATGACCACCTCCCCCTCCCCCCCAATCATTTCCAGTCTGTTTTGAAAAACGTGCCCCTATCTAAAAACCGCCTATGCCCTCCTGATGATAATTAAAGAACAGATTGATAGATTACAGAATAGAGCTTGCAAGTTTGGGTGTATTGACCATGTCACTCCCATTGAGCAGATCATCTGACTTGATCAGTACACCCAAACTTACACTCAAGGACCTTTTACCTCCAAAGAATGCAGTCTCAGAAAGAGAAATCATGAATTTTTACTACCTAAAGTTAAAATCGTAACATTTATGAATTGTTTTGTAAATAGGTGTCTTTTCAAATAGGTGCATGCAATTATTCTTTGAGAATATAGTTTTCAGTTTTGTAAAAATTCTGCATTGTGCACTTTATAACATTCATGCTGCTTCAAGATCTTGATGGTCGTATACAATAAATAACAGGTAATAATAGGTGGGAATTTCAGTGTACCAGACCCTGCATAATCAATTAAAATAAAACTATATCCATGTATTCATGCCAGTAAGTATTGATAGTAAA